TGAGTATTGGATTGATTATGATATCTTAAGAGAGGATTCAATTGAAGAGTTGATTATTAAATGATTAGGTTCATGTTGTTGAATAATAAGCTTCTTGAATTTGTTGAGTATTAAGTTTGATTTTGTGAAATTGAATATGAATTGATTTTATTTTGAGTTTGCTTGAGTAAGTAGGATTTGTTCTTTAAAATAATGATGGTTATGTGATACTTAATTGATTATGGATTTGTTATGATTTCTAGGTCTATGAATATGTGGATTTCTTCGAGGGATTTGAAATTTGTATATAAGTTGTAATTAAAAAAATAAAATAGATAATGTAGTGAGATAAAAAAGGAAATTATTGATGATAATCAAGTGTTATTGTGTTAGCATGTTTTAGAAATGACTTGAAAAGCTATAAAATGTTGGTTTTTATTGAGTTTGTTATGTGATATTATAAACAAAAATCCTGATAAATATGCAAAGTAAATGTTTTCGGTTGGATGAATGTTATAATGGTTAGATGTAGCTATAATATTGTAATTTTTTTTACTTTGTTTTTATGGAAAAATGATTTAGTGAGTGCATTGTGGATATATTATTATGGAAAAATGATGATGAAGAAGAAATGTATATATATAAAAACATTAATAAAATAATAATTGATTGATTAATTCAAGATGACATGGTCTAAACTTAGACCTTGTAGTTCGAATGTTGATTAATAAAAAGAACAAAAATACATTTATATTAATTGTTCTTATTAATTTTTAATCAACCTAAGATGAAATGGTCTTGTATTAAGCTCTATTTTTTGAATTTTGATTATTAAGTAACATGATCATTGAATTATTTATTTTTATTAATTATTAATCAGCTTAGGATTTATTCTTTGAATGTTGATAAATAAATAATAATATCAATTAATACATGAATACATGAGCTCTAAGAAATTAGTGAATACATTTTGTTACTCTATAATCATTTCATTTCACAATTTCAAATCAATTTGATATTTTTATTATTTATTAAGTAGTTTAGAAAGAAATAGCAAAACAGTGAGCCTGTTTTTTTTTAAAAAAACTATTTAATAGTTATTGTGAATCTTTCAAATTGTAATAAGTATCATGCATAAATACGGGATAAAATCATTCATTATTAGTATATGTTATTTAGCATGTAGTCATTAGACATGATGATAAATATTCAATTTAGTATATTAAATAATCTTATCATATGTTAAATAACTTATAATAAAATGATCAAATATTTGGCCTTGTTTTTTTGAATGTTAACTAACATATAGTACAACCAATCAATATAGCCATATTATTCACAAAATAAAATTAAATGATAATGTGCAACATTGAATCATGTTCTTTAAACTTTTTTAAGTGGATAGTAAAGATAATATTCAGATAATATATTAATTTAGATATATCACATTAATACATATATCATTGAAAATATATAATAATTTTTATTCAAGATTTCTATAGGATAGTAAAATTTTTTAATTATTATAAAATTAGATAATTTATTTTTATTTTTTTAACCCATATCTCATCTTGATATCCCTAATGACATATATATATATATATATATATATATATATATATATATTTATTTATTTGTTTGTTTTGGGGGTGGTGGGTGTTTGCCTGCTTAAAAACGTGGATAGCAAGAGGCGGAGAGTCTTCTACAGGCACCAAAGGTATACAGATCCAGAATGCTCAACAAAGCTTTGACCCAATAAGCTGGAGTTGGACTTGGTCTGCTGGTATAGTGAAAGCCTTTAACCTCCAAAAATAAGGCAAAAATAATACTATTTATATGCCAAGCTGTAGAATTCTGCGGTTTATGAATTTGATCCTATTGACAATTAATCGCTATATATGCCTTCCCATATTCATACTTAAACAACTTTTAAGGTTCTCGCTTCTTTTCATGTTATTGTTTTAATTACAATTTTTTTTTGAATATTTTAATTCTAGTGCATGAATTGTTTGTAAAAAATGTAAATGATAATGTACATAAAATAGTCTAAAAAGCACCTAATTTCAAGAATATCAGGTGGTCAAACAATCAGCTTTCTTTCATTGAACTCGTGAATTTAAACTTTGAAGTCAATATTTAGAGTAATTTATTAATGTTTTTAATATATTACGTGATGTAAAGGGTACGTTTTAAAGAAAAATAAAATAAAATCAGTATCTATTGACATTAAAACAAAAGCTAAAAAATAAGTGATTCATCTTAACTAGATATAAGGTGAGATACAAATGCATTAATCATTATAAAATTAAATACGATGAAATTACTAACTTACTTTCTTTTTTTAAAAAAAGGAAGTTAGGTCAAGAAATGTTTTTCCCCACTTTTCAATTTTTTTTCATGGTACAATAACTTAAATGCCCCATAAAATTTAATTTTCTTAGCTTACAAGGGTGATTTTATTATTATAGCTTTTTTTAATTACCAAATAGTATTAGGAGTAATTAAATCTTTTAATATATATTAAATATAATTTAAATAAAAAAATAACTGACACATGTATTTAATTGGTGTTGTTTAAGCCTTTTGGATGGTGCCGTTAAGACTTTCAATGCCATCTTCTGGGTTAAGGTTTAATGAGTCCTTTTTTTTTTTTTTTTTGATTTACGTGGGGTGTCCGGGCCAGCTTGCGCGCACCACGACTAATCCCCACGGCCCACTGAACACCCTGCAAACCCAGTAGGCATGTAAGGCACCGCGGGGGTGACAGGCGTGCACACCAGGACTCGAACCCATGTGCGATGGAAGGAGCTTGGCTCCTGCCACCGCTAGGCCAAGCCCCTCGGTGCATTTAATGAGTCCTTTTGCCCCATCATAATGGTGTGATATGTGCTTCCAAACAAGTGATAGTTGAGTCTTTACCGCTATTTCTTTTTTCCTCCTAAAATGAACTAGCATTGCAAAAAATATATAAAGTGTTATTGAATCAAATTAATTACTTATTTTCCTGATTGTAATATTTTTTTTATCTTGAATTCTTTATTAATTTTTTTTTAACTTTAATTTATTAATATTTGATTTTTATATCAAGTTTGGTCTATATCCCTCATAATTTGATTTCATTTTCTTTTTGTGACAAATTCATTCTTCATTCTTTTCAAATATTTTTATTAAATTTTTTTATTTTATCCCTAATTATTTTGATTGGTTGAGAATTTAACATTGTTATATTTTCAAGTTTGTCTTTTATAGTGTAACCCTTTATAATTTGTATCATGAGTTTTGAAAAATAGATCGAGTTGATTTTGATCTTTTTATGTTTTTTAAAATTTTATCTTTCAATATTTAGTTTGTTGAAGATTGACATTCATTTTTTTAAGACTTTTTTTACTTTGGAGTTATTCTAATTTCATGTTGTTATTAATTTGATAGGTTCATCAAGGTCAACTCAAGCTTTTTTAATTTTTTTTTAATTTCATCATTGCCGATTTAAGAATGAAACTTTACAACTTTATTGAATTTTATTTTTTATGGAATTATCTCGGTGTCATGACTAAATTATAGATTTGATATGTGAGCTCAGATAAACTCTAATCAATTTTTAAAAAAAAAAATATGTTTTTTTTATTTTTTTTACTCGATAATTTATTTGCTGAGAATTGAAATTTATGTATATATTTTTAAATTTTTTTCTTTCTATGCAAGTACTCCATTCTCATTTAATTTTGGTCTGTTAACAATAAAATAGTTGAAATCTTTTAGGAATATTATAAAGATAAATTTCTATAATACCGAATTTTTTTTATTTTTAGCATTGAATTATTGTTTTATTTATTGTTGATATCTTTTTTTATAATCATATTATTAAATTAGTCAAGCTTATTAAATCCAATTAAATCAATAATCAAAATCTCATATATATATATATATTAAGAATATTTACACAGTTGTGATATCTTTTTTATATATATTTATTGAAAGAAAAAGGCCAGCCCATATGGGGTATTTGTCTTGTACAAATTATTTTTGTTAAAAACATTTAACATTATTAAGTGAAGAGATGACCTCTGTGTTAGATATTGTGGAATAAGATGAAAGTATTTTAGTGTTGTGTGTTCGATATTGTGATTTTTTTTAAAGTAGTTTTTATTTAAAAATATATAAAATGATTTTTTTTATTTTTTATTTTAGCATATTAAAACTATAAAAAACATTAAAAAAATATATTAATTTGATGTTTTTTTTCGAGATAAACATAGACTAATGCAATTTTATTCACAAAAACAAATACGGTAGTGTTCAGTTTTATTATTAAAGAAAGAGATGCACAATGCCCTTAAGCAGTGGAAAGCTACATGGAATTGCAGCACTTTAGATTACAAAAGCACTGGAGCTAAAAAGAAGCAAGTCCACTACAACATCTGCAAATAAAGAAACAACAGCGGAGAACAGGATAGCTTGCTCCGAAGAGCTCGAAAGAAGGAAAGAAATGATCATACTTATTCTTGGAAATGCTTAAAGTTGATTTCATACATGAAAGTTTAAACATAAATGGTGAAAAGATTTTGTAATTTTGCGAAAGAAATTGAATGTAGCAACTTAGTATGAAGAATATGATGAATGCGTTACAAGAAGTTGTGTTAAAAAATAATGCAAATTTATCATTGAGAAAAAGAGGTAACGAGGCCCTAGCGAGCAGGGAAAAATTACATAGAAATTAGTGCCAGAGAACCAACCACTTGAGCTTGAAACAATGAATTACTACATCTAGTCTTTAGCAAGAAAAAGGAACAGCAGTGTTAGAACAGAATGGCTTGCATTGAATAGCTCTAAATAAGCATAGAAAAGAATACTTGTGCGCTTAAAGAAATGCTTAAAGCTGATCTAATTCAGACTTTGAACATCATCTTTGAGCAGACCCTTTAAACCTACGAACGATTTTACAAATTGTTCTCAAGATCAGAGTTGTCAAAGTCCAAGTGATCTGTGATAGTTTGTGGCATATGTTTCAGCCGTGGTGCTTTTCAAAACTCTTGACGATATCGAATCAGCTCCTCTAGTTTCTTCTGCAAGCGCAATCTCAAGACAGGCAGTGCACGTTGAGGATCTTTATCGAATATGTCCAGAATCTCCAGACCTTGATCACCATATAAACGTTCGATACACCTCAGAAAGATTCTTCCACTCATATTGTTCTCTTCATTTTTTACTGTGCCTCCTCCCATTTCCTCAGCATATATAACAGCTGAATTGAACCATTCCACTAACATGTCCAGCTCATAGTGTTCATCTTCGCATTTGAACACGTTCCTTTCATGATGATTTGGAAGCCTCTGCCTTGGAGGGCTCCTTTTACAGCTAGAGAAATCAAGTTCTTCCCTTGATTGCTTCTGCCTCCTCCTGTCCCTTGCCTTACATCCCCTTACTTCAAGCACATTAACACTCTCACAATTCCTCCAGAAATTATAAAAATCACTCATCAAATCAGGATAGTTTCCTATCAAATTGGCAACCATTTTTACCAATTCTCCCTTTCCAATTTTTCCCTTGCTGTAATAAAAGAAAAGCTTCAAGAATGTCTTGTGACTCATTTCACAAGGTAGCCTCTTCTTAACTTTCTCGAAGAATCCAATTCCTTCTCTAATTTTTTCCGCCTCGCTGTCACTGGCTTTCACTTCAGCTTCATCTCCCATGATAAGTTTTGCTTCCTTATCATTCTGATTCTTTTTCTGCGGTACATCAGTGGCCCTGGTGTTGGTGAGGTCTGTAGATAGCAAATCTGAAAGTTGGTAAGTCAGTGGTTTTTCTAATTCAGAAACTGGCATAAATTTAATGAAGTCCTTTTGCAAGTCACCATGGCCTTCGGTTAGCTTAAGACCAGAATCAAAAACATCAACCGAAGTCCTAGTCGACCCTTTCTTAAGCAATTTGAAAATCTTCAAGAATTTTTCCAAACCATCCTCACCACACTTGATCTTCAGCTTGTTTATAAAATCCACACCCTGTCGGAATGTCTTACTCTCTGTGGTTGTCTCAGTTTCCTTCTCCTCCTCGTTATCGTGGCTACCGCCTTTCACTTGAGATCCACCTGCCTTCACAAATTGTGATTCCCTGTTCCTTCCGCAAACTTCAAAACTTTCAGAACTCTCTTTCTGTAGCTCATCAACCCTACAGTTTCTGAGTTCTGAAGATTCCAAACCAGGAAGATAATAGGCCAATGATGTTGCTTCAGTAATTGGCATAGAGTAAAGAAAGTCTAGTAGCAAATCAGGATGGCCTTCTGTTACCCTATGACTAAAATCGCAGACATCAGCCAAACTCATAGATCCTTCCTTACGCAAACGGAAATTCTTCAACAATGCTCCACAAACATCCTTACCACACTTGCCATCAATCTTTTTCACGAAATCCATACGCTCTCCGTCTCCAACTGTCTTGCTCTCCATGGCTGGCTCAGTTTCCTTCTTCTCCTCAACGTCAAGGCTGATTTGAAACTCAGGCCGCAAAAAGGAGTTCAGCCCACCAATCAAGTCATGATTACCTCCAAGAATTTCCTTCACTCTTGCTGAAAAATTTTCAAGCACGACAGTCAGCCCCCCTACCAAACCATCATGTGCAGCCGCTGTATCCATGAACTTTTCCAAGATCCTGCCAAGGCTGCGGATTTTTTCTTCAGGCTGGTCATATTGAAACCAGGCTTTCAGTTTCTTGGAATAGTTTAGGGCAGGCTCAACTTCTTCACGAGGATACTGAGAGAGAAGGGAACGATAGTGGTCACTGTGCTCTCTCTGTCTCTTCATCTTTTGTAAACTTTCTCAGGTATTAGAGAGGAAAAATAAAAAGTAAACGGACTGCAGTTTTTGGAGAAGGTGAGAGGTTTTATAAAGTGATATTCTGCGGAATCCGTTCTGAAGAGGATGTTGTGAGAGTATATAGTTTATATATATGATTCATTCTACTTTTTCCCCAAAATTTGGATTGGAAGAGATTATTCCTAAAAAAATTCGGATTTCAGAAAATATATTGACAGCTAAGAAGATTTATATCAATTATCCATATGAATAAAATCCAGGTAGGAGCAGGACTAAGAGAAATTAGATATCGTGGCCGACTTATTTTCCGAATTGAGAGAGAAGTTGCTTGCCAACTTCAGATTTTCAGACTCCCTAAATCCTTCGTTGAATTTTTTCCATGGCATTAGGGCGACCGAATATCGCAATGAATCTCTCCTCTCTTTCAACCTTTATTCCGACCAGCCTGTAGACCCAAAGCATCCTGCATCAACCAAGATGTGAGGACTTCATCTGAACTTGAAAAAATTCAAGTTTAGATGACAATTTGAAGAACTGAAACTTGACCTGATCCTGATGTATAAAATTGAAGTTAAACTTGTAAATAATGTTTATAGCTATGATATAAAATATGGTGTTCTGATTAGTGAAAGCTTTGATTATCATCATTTTTAATTCCTTCCTATCATTACACCGTAAATTTGTCCAATAACAATGATATTAGCGATGTAAAATTTTCTGTCACTAATTAATAAGGAAATTGCTGACATAATAAAAATAATTAAAAAATCAAGAAATATTTGTTGATGATTCCATCAATAAAATGACACATTATTGTTTTATGACATAATTATCGAATGAAGTATTTTATTGCTGGCCAGTTTCCATTGAAAATGTGGTTGGTAAATTTAAAAGTATTATAACCGATGTTAGCCCCATCCCTCATCCCTCTTTCTTTTTCTTCTTCTTCTTTTTCTTTCTTTCACAGCAAAAAATAGTGACCCTTGCCATTTTGCCACAAATCTAGGCCACATCCTTACAAATTTAGCAACCTCAACACACAATAGTGTCAACATTATTGTCTTGGTTGATTTTTTTCTAAACATTCCTTACACCAAGTAAGCAAACCTACTCTTTTATATTTTAAGTTAATTTATTGATATTTTTATGTAATATTTATAGTTTATATTTATATTTATATATTTCCTAGTGTTTTCATAGATAATTTTGTTATATTTAAATATCATTTATATGTTAGGTTTCATTTAGGATTTGAGGAAAATTGAATTTGTTTGTAATTTAAAAATTTTAAGTTTATTTTGTAATTTAGTTGTGATATACTAGAAGAAATGATGAGTTATTTTATGGGTATCAATCACATTTGATCAATTTAATTGTTAAGTTGAAAATTTTAGAAAAATTAAGTTTTTATGGAACTAATAACAATTAAATGGTATGAATTTAGATTGAATAAGTTGGAATTGAAAAAATAATAAATAATTAGTTAGGAACCAATTACTTGTTAATTTGATTTATTTAGTTCATATTTTGATGCATTATTGAATTTTTAGACAAATGATAATTGGTTATTAGATTATAATTTTATTTTTAATTACTTAAGTTGAAATTTGAATTGATTATTTGCATTATTAACAAATATTGTCATCAATATTATATATAAGTTTTATATGTAATGAATGATTATTCTTAGATGTATTCTGATTCACCTAATAGTTGCATGGGAAAAATTATTATAAAAGGGGTTGAAGATTTTATTAATTTTGCACTTTCAAATCTAAAGATTGTTAATGGAGGTGGAATTATATGTCAATGTGTAAAGTGTAAAAATCAAAAGTTCTACTAATCAGATGTTATGATCATATATCTTTTTTAAAAAAGGTTCATAGAGAAATAATTAAGTTAATTTGCACATGAAAAACCTTATGTTCCTAATAAGATCATGTTAGAAAGGATTGTTGACTTAACATATGCTTCTAGCAACATGCATAAAGATATAGATGATAATAATAATTGTTAAAAGAGTATGGTGATGAATATAATGAAAATGAATCATGGTTATTTAGGTAAAGGTTCACGTGTAGATGAATGTTTTTTGAAAATATTTTTAACATGATTATGGACGTCAAGGAAAAAGCAAAGAACAATATAAAAGGTACAATAAATATAGCTTTATTTTGTGACTATCATAATATAGCGTTGTTTAATAATGGGGCAAGTGTTTCAAAGTCCAAAGCCACCATCACCTTAAATAATAATAATAAAAAAAAACAAAAGGTATTTTTTCTTATGTATGAATGGCTTAATAAGAGTTTGTGATTTCTTAATGGATATGCTTTAAAAATTGCTAGATTGATAAATTTAAAGGAATGAAGATTGTATGAAATTAAGAGTCATGACTATTATGGGTTTATACAAATACTCATTTCAATTGCTTGTGGGGGTTTGTTTTCAAAAGGGATATGAGATGTACTCACGAAAATTAGTTATATTTTTCAGAGATGTTTACTTGAACAAGTTGCAATCCCTACACATTTAGCAACATTTAAATGAACATGATTGAGATAATCTACAAACTTGAAATAATCTACCCCTCATTCTTCTTCGATTCGATTCAATGAAGTATCTATTTATACATTTAGCGTATGAAGCATAAGTTTGAGGGTCTATGCAGTATAGATGGATGTATCTATTCAAAAAGGGTTAAGGATTACATGCATCCAAAATATATAATTTGTTTTTATAAGCATTTGGTTATTCAATCTATATTTGCTTCCATGTATGTTCTTGTTTAAACTTAAGAAAAAGGCTAACAAGTTATGAGGCTTTGATCAACAAGGTTTATATTTGTCATAACTCATTTTTAGGTTATTCCCCAATTCACATTTATTTCTTTTCAACAAATAATAAATAGTGAAAAAGTATGTCAATGCGTCTAAAAAATGAGTAGAAGAGGTTCAAAAATACAAATATTAAAATTTAATAGTATTTTATTGACTGATGAGAGCCATGTTGACAAAGAAAATTCAATTTAAGTAAGAAAAGTACAAAATCAGATGTTTATGGACTCAATTAAATTTTATTGAAGGTTTAATTAAATTTATGAAGAGTTTGAATGCAAGAACATTTGATTTTGGAGTCAATTTGAGCTTTAATTGGAAAAAATTAAAGTTCTAGGGTTAAATTATAATCTTTAAAAGTTAATTTGATCAAATTAGGGGCTTAATTGTATAAATATTGAAGTTTGATGGCCAATTAGGGACTTAATTAAAGAAATACAAAACCAAGGACCAAAATGAAAAGCCATGTAAGTAGAGGAGCTGGAATTAAAACAGGTCAGGGGCCTAATTGAAGAAATTAAAATTTTATTGATCAATTAAGGGTTAAATTGTATAATTTCAAAAACAAGGACCAAAGTGAAAAAGACAGCCAACTTTAGGGCTGTTGTTGGATTTTTATTAGTGATGCAATTGAATTGATTTTTAAATTAAAATTGCAATTTAGGACTTGATTGAAAAAATTATAATTTCAGGGCTCAATATAAAAATTGACAAGTTTTTGCCGCCTGTTCATTTAAATGAAATGGCGTGTTTTGACCAAAACAGCGCCATTTCATGCACTGTTTTTTTTTTTTTTAAATAGAAGGCCCATAACAGTGCTGTTTTAAACGACACTATCATCTTTTTCCCCTAGACATGCAGAGAATAAGGGAAGAAAATTTGTTTGTCTTCTCTATTTCTCACTTACTTCCCTCCCCCGATGACTTCAAAAGGACGCCGACACAATCCACTTTCCACGTGTTGGAAGGATGGTAGAGGGGCAGTAGAAAAGTGGCTGCCTCAGCCACGTCCTCCCTATTTTTTGCTATAAAAAGAAGGGGCAAACAGACCGAAAAAAGAAGGGACTGAGAATAGACAAAGATAAAAAAAAAAAAAGAGGACCGAGAGAGAATGAGAGACCAAAAGAGAAGAGAAGAGAGAAGGCAGAGAATAAATGAAAGAATAAAAGAAAAGAAAAGAAAACAAAAAAAAACCAGAGGCTCTCACCTCTGTATAGTGAGGAAGAAGAAGAAGGAGCATTGTCGGCCATCGTCTTCACCACCGACGACAATAACCATGCCACTTCTTGCCGGGTACATCTCTTTCCTTCTCTACTTAGTCCATTGTTTTTCTTCCATTGGCATGCAAAATGTGATTCATGTTCTGCAGCCAATGAATAAATTGGATAGTTAATGTGCACACAACCAATGATAATATAATGGGCTAGCCTTGGCCTATTTTGCATGTTGGGCCATTGCCATCCCATTTTGTTTTGGGCTAGTGCCTGCCCATTTCATTTTATATCGGGCCAAAGCCGACCTGTTTTATTTTCATGTCGGTCGGTGTTGGTCCTTTTTCATGTCGGGTTGGTGCTGGCCTATTTTGTTGTATGTTGGGTCAGTGCTGGCCCATCATTTTTTATGTTGGGCCGTGCTAGCCCATTCCAAATAAATACACCATAAAAATACAAATTCGATATTAAAATAGCAGGTTTTTGTCAAAACTTTCAAAAATACAAAAACAACTAAAAAAATATTTTTATACATACGACTAAGTGTCTTAAAGCTAAAAATTATATAGTGTTTTTCATACACCAAAAAACAATGTTTTAGCATGCATTTTGGCTTTAATAATCAGTTTATTAAAGTTAAGAGAACATTGATCAAAATTTCAAAAACAATAATTTTTTTTTTGTTTTAGTATCAGGAATGATGAATTTATATGTAAAACTTATTTCCGATATTAAAAAGGTATTTGTTTTTATTAACGATATAAAATAGTTAGGTTTTTACTTGATAAGATAAAAATCTCCTTACAGAAAAGGACTTTTCTTAAACCATAGATAGACCAGCAATTAGACACCATAATATGACCTTAGATTTTATCAAACATTATAACAATGCAGCCTACCTTAGATACAACATAGTTAGGGTGCTAATATATTCCCTTTAC